AAAAAGTGATGATTCAATTAGGGCCAAAAATATGTTAAAAAAGCAGCGGGGGGGGTCATCAGTTCCTCTGCGGCAAGGCCTCATGGTACAAGTGAGGATTAAAATACGGGCAAACTCATCCCTGTAGATCGAAAATGATGATCGAAAAAATGATGATTCAATTCGGGGCACAAAGTCCAAAAAATAGCAGGGGGGTCAGGGGGGGCGGCAGCCCCCCCGACGATGATTGAAAAAGTGATGATTCAAGTAGGGCCAAAAAAATATATTAAAAAGCAGCGGGGGGGGTCATCAGTTCCTCTGCGGCAAGGCCTCATGGTACAAGTGAGGATTCAATCACGGGCAAACTAACCCCTGTAAAACACCTAAAACATAGCGAGGGGGGAGGGGGGCGGCAATTCCCCCCATGATGATTGAAAAAGTGATGATTCAATCAGGGGCAAAAAGTCGGGGGGGATGATGATTGAAAAAAGTGATGATTCAATGGGCCAAAAAAAAATATTTAAAAAAAAACAGCGGGGGGGGAATCAGTGCCTCTGCGCCAAGGCCTCATGGTAAAAGTGAGGATTCAAATACGGGCAAACTAATCCCTGTAAAACGGCAGCCAAAGAATCTAAAAAGCAGCTGTCGCATGATGATCGAAAAAGTGATGATTCAATTAGGCGTGCATTTTAATCGAAAGGGGGGTGGCGGGGGGCACCAGAGAGGAACTTGCGATGCTGAGGATGCAGGAAGCCAAGCAAAAACCAACTGGGAAAGCAGAGGATGCGAAAAGCCAAAGCCAGAAAGCCGCCAAAAGCCACAAAGCCAAAAAGCCAGCGGAACTGGCAATGCAGAGGATGCGAAAGAGAGGAACTGTGAATGCAGAGGATGCGAAATGAAAAGCCACAAAAGCTACAAAAACCCACGTAAAAGCCACAAAAGCCAAAAAGCCACCCACCCTGAAAAACAAAAATAATTCCTAAAAAAAAAGGCCCTCCGTTGGCATTTGCTCGGAAAGCCGCGTGCAAGGAGAAAGGGAAAATACAGGAGGAGGAAACAACAGAAGACGCGCAAGAAGCAATAAAGAAAGAGACCAAGGAAGGAATCTGAGAACAGAAAGACAACAAAGAGGGGTATAAATAGACATACCGGACATAAACAAGTAACATCACAAATAAATAAACAAACAAAAAAGAAGAAGAAGTAAAAAAACAAGAAACAAGGAATATTGTACATGCATAAAAAGAAGCAAGGAAGGAAGGAAGGAAGGAAGGAAGGAAGGAAGGAAGGAAGGAAGGAAGGAAGGAAGGAAGGAAGGAAGGAAGGAAGGAAGGAAGGAAGGAAGGAAGGAAGGAAGGAAGGAAGGAAGGACAAAAGGACAAAAGGACAAAAGGACAAAAGGACAAAAGGACATAAAGACTGAGGCATATATATATATACATATACATATGCACGGACAAAACACATTTGTGCAGTGATGAATACATATGACAGTACACAAAGACAGAAACTTGCAAATAAACAAAAAAAAAGAAAGGTGGGAGGAAAGAAGAGAGAAAGAACGAGAGAAAGAAAGAAAGAAAGAAAGAAAGAAAGAAAGAAAGAAAGAAAGAAAGAAAGAAACAAAGACTCAAAGGAAAAAAGGAAGAAAGGAACAAAGGAAGAAAGGAAGGAAGGAAGGAAGGAAGGAAGGAAGGAAGGAATAAACGAATCAAATAAGAAAGGACATAGAGACAGAAAGAACGAATGACAAAACACATTACAAGAAAAGGAAGGACATTTATGAACAAACAACATGAATACACAAATAAGGGAAAACATGAATCAAACCATCTCCAAATGAATAAGTAAAACGAAAGCCACAACGCAAGAAAGAAATAGAGAAATAAATAATTACATAAATATATAAAGCAAGAAAGAAACGGAAGAAACAAAACAAAGAAACTAAAAAGGAACAAACACAAATTACATGAACGAATAAGTACAGGAAGCAAAGAACTGGCGAACCACATGCAGACACAAGTGCACAAATACGGGGAGACATAAATGAATTGAGAGAGACATAACTACATGGCAAAATAAATGTAGACATAAAGAAAACAAGAAAGAAAGAACGAAAGAAAGAAAGAAGAAAGAGCAACACAAAACAACCATGAAGACTGTATACATACATCAAGGCATAAAGAAAGACATATGATTAGAGCAAATCAACATACATAAATAATAAACACATAAAGACTGGAATCATAAAGTAATGACCAACCAACATGAACGACTGAAAAAGTGAAATAAAGAAATGATGAAATGGCGCAACAAAGAGACAACCATGTATAAACAATCAATCAACGAAACAACACATACGCACACATAAACTCATGACACATAATTAGAGAACGAGAAGACACGACACAACTATCCAAATGCACTGGACCCAGTAAGTTGCAAACATCAAGAAACAAACGCACAGGATGCAAAGGCTCTCGCACCAGGCCATCGCCTTGATGCTCGGCCAAGTGGGTCCCTGGCTGCAGGTGGCGGCAAATCTATTGGTGATCTTCTCAACATGCTCAACATGGTGGTTTCAAGGAAAACCAAAAGACATCCCCTATAGAAGTGGCTTCCAAATACAAGTGACATCCGAAATCTATTTTTTTTTCTGTAAGAAGTGGCTTAAAGGGAAATCCGTCAGCGGCAATTTAACCCATGGGTGACTCGCTTGCCGACAGGTTTACCTTCTGAGCCATGTTCCAACCAAACTGGGCACCAAACGGGGGTGTCTTTCTTTGAGGTCCCCCCTCTTTTTGGCGGTCTTAAGTGGAAACCAATGCAAAGACATCATTTTAGTGGGTCTCCTTTCCCCCCCCCAAAAAAAAAAACAAAAACACCCAAACGGAAACCAACGGCACCAACAGCTCGGCTTTGTTCTGACTGTAAGCCGAGACATCCAAGACCCAAAGCGGGCAGCTTGAGGTCCACGAGTGCACATCCTCTCAGATTCCAGGAGTTTTGGGAAACCGGGGATTCCAACTGAAATGAAACTAGGAATGGTTTATAGGGAATGATCCCCTCACATGAGAGTGGGCAAGACAACTTGAATTGCCAAAGAGACGGGTTTGGGGCAAAAAAATACGTGGCTTGAGCATGTCGATTCTGAAGGCCGGGTTGATTTTGAGCTTGGTCCAGCTGCCGCTCTACAAGCAGAAAGCACGCAAGTCTGGAACCACACTCGTGTGAATACGACAAAGGCACGTAAAGCCTGAACAACAGCTAAGCATGTTCAAAACGGGCATCCATTCTTCAAGCAAGAGGATGAGGTCAAGCTTGGCTTTGGCACCTGGCCGGAACTGCCTGTGCTTCCTGTTTTTCGGCGTACACTGTTAGGTGGTGCCAAAGGGAAAGCCATCGACAAGGCCACCATTTCCTCCGTCCAAATTCCCCAACGCGCCTGACAAAGTGACAACGGTGACGTGGAGTTCCTTCTCCATGGCCAGTTGGTCACCACTTTTGTGCTTTCACGGCGGGTCAGGACGAAAAATGGCCAAGTGGCCAAAGGGGGAATTCCTGAGACCTCGAACCATTTGATTCAGTGGCAGCTGACCACAGGACACAGATTGACATGCTTCCCAAAAAGGCCGCAAGGCACCCGAGCGGTCCTGCTAAAAAAGGAACACTCCAATGGGCTAGGGATACAATGGTGTGTGGGTGGGGCAACCGCTGGTGGAACCCCTGGAAAACCCTGAAAAACCCCTACGCGCGTGTTCGCCGTTCCGCCCCGGATCGAGCCAACGAGCTCGGACGGCGAGGGCAGTTACTGCTGGACAATGGGATGGTCCCAGGCCCCCTGTGCAGAAGGTCTGACCTTTTGTATGGAAAAGCCAGTTCCCAAGTCACGCCAAAATCCACCTCACAAACGGCAGGTGGCTTATCCCAGTGTTTACAGGGTTTCCCCAGCTGGTGAAGGAGTTTGTCCATCAGTACCAAAGCCAGCAGTGATTGCCAATCGTAGATCGGCCGCCAAGTCTTGCCGGGGTCTCAATTTCCTCTTTTCAGACACATCGCCGCGAAAGCCCCCAGCGAGTAGAATCAAAATGGCCAGGGGGGCCTCGGGTGCCTCAGCCCAAGTTTCAGGGCAAAAAAAGACAAAAACTTGGTCCAGTAAACCGGACTCCTCAAACTTATGTTAGGCTAAAAACTTGAAAAGTGAACCCCCTTAACATGCTCACCTTAAGGTGCCCCCACCCTTTCACAGCCTTGAGGCCATGCACAGCCAATGAGCTTGAAGGACGCACATAGCCCCTCCCAAACTCACTGGCTCCTCAAACTACCCAAGCTAAACAAACCTAGGCCTTCCAACACATTGCTTCAACCCGCCCAAGGTCGAAATATGGAGAACCTGGAGAAACTCATGGACAACGAACCGCAGCTTTTGATCCCGGTGTTGGTTTAGCGAGGGCCCGGCCACTTTTTGCTGATCAAGGGCTCCGATCCATAAGGGTTTTTGCGCTGGCCCTTTGGCTTTTGGGCTCGAACCTCCTGTCAAGGGAAACAGCCACGTGCCCCTGCTTTAGATCCCCCTCACATGTTCGGTGTCCAATCTATGGGAAATGTAAACACGCACGCACATGTATGTATGCACATGTAAAGCACGGGTAAGGGTCGGGATGCCCAGCTGCGAATATAAACAAACACACATATGTGCACACAAACATGTATGCGTGTGTAGATGTATAACATGCATAGCTGTATGTATGCATGCATGCGTGTGCAGTTGTATACTATGCATAGCTGTATGTATGTCTGTATGTATGTATGCATGCATGCATGCATGCATGTATGATGCATTGCATGTATGATGCATGCATGCATTTTTGCATGAATGGGTGAGAACGCGCATGGATGGAACACAGTGCAAAGCAATGTAATGTAATGTTATGCTATGTGTCTAGGCGGGTAGGTAGGTAGGCATAGCTGTATGGCTCTATATCTGCATCCTTGTGGACCGATTCCACCGAGGTTGGCGCCGGGTCCGGCAAGGCCTTGCTGGGCTGGAACTGAGCCTGAGCGGCCCCTGAGATTTGGTCACCTTTGGTGTTGTGTTGGAATCTGCACGAAACTACACCTGTCCAATTGAGGTAGGGTCAGCTTCCCTTTGACCCGCTATGGGAACCAAGGGTTCAAATCCCCTAATCACTAATCCAAACCACCGTGTAGGGTCTGACTTGATCAAGGCCCACCAAAAAACAAAAACAAGGGACAGCCCTTTGAAATCGTCGGCTCTGCCCCGCCCAACCCAAAAAGAACCCACACGCAACTGACCAGGGATTGCTTCCCCATTCTGTTTAACAATCGTTCTTTCCAAAACAAAACGCGCTTTTCCCCATTGGTGTGTGGTGGTTTTCTGGGAAGATTCGGGAAGTTGGTCCTAGGAGCTGGATGGAACTTCTGATAACACAAACTGAAACATGAGAAAACCACAACGCTGCTGTGGCAGGCTCGGGCCCCGGCCCGTGTGTAGCCCTGAACCTGGCCGGGCATAGAATGCAATGCGCCCAGGAAGGGCCCTATGGGTCCCCGAGCAGTACATGGGTAAGTCCAAAACCCGGGAATTCGTCTCCTTGCGGGACAGTCACCGTGTTAGAGTGTACTTTTGTGGTATCAAGAAACGGAACTCTGCTCCGTTTTCCTTCCAGCTGACAAAAGTCCTGAAAGGGGCCTTGTGAGTGACGTGGAGCTTACTTAGCTCCTCCCGACGTGTCATATCGCTTGCTCAGTTTAGGCTACTACGGGAAAGGTCGGGTGAAGCAAAGAACACGCTTCTTCCTTGAGCTGTCAGGGAGCCTTCTTTGAAAATACAAGTGAACAAACCGTTATCGTCAACGTGTTGTTGGCAGAATTTAGACAGAACACCCACAACGGCGGGGTTCCAGTCGTTGCATCTGGAAAACAACTTCCACAGGTACGGCAGGCTCGGGCCCCGACCCGGTTGTAGCTCTGAACCTGGCGACAACGGGGTGTTTCTCAAAATGGGTATGCTTGTTTGACGGTGTTTCCTCGGGAAACCAAACTAAATGGACACCCACCTGCTTGGGTCCCCCCAGTTTGGCACATATCCAGTTAAATAGAACGGCCGTTTCTCAGGCATGCGAACAAATGCCAGCGGCTGAAGGTGTATGATTCGCACCGACATGGGTGCTGTCTTGTTGTTCCCCACTGGTGGTGTTCTTTGTGGCTTCCAAAAGAAAACCACCCGAAAAGGGTACCCCCAAACCAAGGGCACCCACCAATGGGAGGGGGGAAGGAACATGCGCCGATCGATCAAGCTGACGGCTCTTGACCGCTCTATGCGGCCTAGCAAGCTTTGTCAAAGGGCCAGGGGACGGCTTTCCCACATTTTGGCATGACCAAACATCGCATGGGGCGAAAGTCAGCATGAATTCGTTGCAAACGGGTCCCCTGATGAACAGGCCAATCTCGACCCCTTGGAGGGATCAAAGCGCGCCTCCCGGCTGACGATGGCCAGCAGAAGCGGTTCCTCCTGGACGCGGGCCAAGGCGCAAGGTGCGGTGGCCTCCAATAATCGCCCGCTTTGCCGGCTGGAGGGGGGGTACCAACCCCATCATACCCGAAAAGGCCTGGCAGAGGACTGGCTCAGCTTCGCTAAGTTGCTAACACTGTGCCCGCTAAAAGTTTAACTTTCAGTGGGTGAAATGGAAACTATCACAAACACTAAAAAGCTAAAAGGCTAAGGGCATGGCTGGGAGCCACCCAGAACATGCTTAGAAGGTGGTACCTAGTGAAACTGACAGTGTAAATCCCCGGAAGGGCTTTAGGTGGCTCCCAGAAGAGAAGGCCTCCCAATCAAGGGGCATTGGGTTTGTGCCCCGGGAGGCTCCTAAAGCTAACAGATGCAATTAAGGAAGGAAGAAGACGTCCTATTTTACCTCAATGTACCTCAACGCAACATGATTCCAGGGTTCATGTTGGCTTACGAACACAAGGCCAACTTTTGGCTTGGATCATGGCTCGCAGAAACCCTCTCTATGAGTCCAAGAATAGCTCTTGGATCTGGGCCCTATCTGGGCTCTAAGCACCAGGCATCTGCAGGGCTGCTGCAGTCAACCATCGCCCCGGCCTGACGGGTGGTCAGGTGGCCTGTCCATACCTTCCGTCGCATGTGCATCTGCAATTGCGCAAGAGGAGTGCATTGCACATGTGCGCATCGTGAGTTTGTTGGTATATGGGGTTGTCTGCTTCTTTTTGGTTCCTTTGTTTGTTTGGTTGATTGTGTGCTTGCTTGGTTGACTGTTTGCTTGGTTGCTTGCAGGGCTGTGCGGTGTGGCATGGTGTTGTGTGTATGTGTGTGTGTGTGTGTCAACTAGTTGATTGACGCTTTGTAGATCAATGACGCCTTCGACTGGTTTCTTTCAAATAAGGCTTTGGGTCGGTGGTATTTGAGGGAATCAAGCGGGGGCTTGCGGGAGTTGAGGGGTTGGAACGGGAAGCCGAATGGAAGCCAGTGCCAAGAACTGGACGTCTCTCTTTGATACCATCACCCTGATGTAGAAGGGCGGAGCGCCACATCCCACAGGATTCATGCATTCAGTGATTGGCTTTCCTCCCATGTTTTGGGAAGAGGATCTTGGTGGCTGCCACGTTCGCCGGGAGGGAACAAGGGGAGCAACGCATGACGTACGAAGAGGGGATCCTGATCCTGAAGGGGGCAACAACATAGGATTTACGACTGTGACCATGACACCCCCGATGGAGATTTGTTAGAGTCGCGCAATTTCTGTCTTGCTGGGTAGTACTCCTCCAGACGCCAGAAGGGGCAAGACAGCAGCCGTGTTTTGGCGCGCATGGTGGGCCCTAAGGGCCAAACCAAGATCTGAGCGTGTGTTGCTTGCCTGCCCTGGTTGAAGCAAGCCGATGGATACAAAGGCTCCACTTCGAGACCAAACCTTTGTCAGGAGTTTCTTCATGTCCAGGTTACTCTCCCTTAACTGCATCTAAAACCACCTGATTTACAGGAGATCCTGTAAACTTGGCAAGGTGATCTGCTCATTGGCACTTGGCACAAATGAATGTATCCTTTAAGGTCCTCTCTGGCCCAAGTTGTGCATAGCTCAGGGTGTCCCGGGCCGGGGGGTCCCGCCTGCTCAGCCGCCAGCTCCGTGGATCGAGCAGCGGCATCGCTGAGCGCCAGGAGGGACGCAATCCTGGCGGCTCGGCAGGCTCAAGAAACCATTCTCCACCGCCCCGGCGCCCAAAACAACACACCCCCGAAGGAAAAACAAGAAGAACGGGAACATAATTCGATGTCCCTCTTCACGGTAACCTTTTGCTGGTTGAAAGGAACGATCAAGCAACAAGCGCTAAAACGGAAAGCCAGGCATCGCAATGAACAAACAGGACGTGTTGCCAGAGTTTCACCGTCACTGGTTTCGCTCAAAATCCATATGCCTCTTTAGAAACCAAAGCCAGTTCCATGTTGACACGTGCTGACGTTTGCTCAAAGGTGATATCCCCCGTCCTGGCACATGAGGAAAGCCTCTCGAGCTCCTCCGGTGGGAAAATCCGAGAAACCCTGCCACCAGTGGTCCTCCACATAACTTGGCTCTCCGTAAGGAAAACAAGGGTTTTGGGAATGCATATGGGTGTGTCCATTTTTGAGGATACCCCTTTTCCCCGTTTTTTTTTTGTGGGGGTGGGGGGGGGGTCCCTGCAAGAAAGACGAGCCACCCATCTTGATATCACTGAAAAGGAAGCCACATGGCGGCTAGGAGGCACCAACTAGACGTGTATGACGAACCGGGAGAGCTTACCTGAAACTTCCGCCCCTGTTGGTGCCCTTCTTGGACGATGACAATTGTGGGGTTTAGCACCCAGTTACCATTCCAGGAGGCCAAAGAAAGCACACACAAAATAACTCTGTCTATATCTAAGCCGCTTCGTGTTGGTTTGCGATTTCAGCGGACAAACTCCCAGGGAGTCCGTGGAATCAACCTTCGCACACTATCGAAAGCTCAGTTGCCCCAAATCTGTTGCAAGTTGCTTTGATCAATGCGATCCTGCACACATCCAGGATCATAAAGGGGTCGCACAAAGAAGTCCGACAATCGCTGGGAGCTCCGTGCCAACCAACCAACCAACCAACCAAGCAACCAAGCAACCAAGCAACCAAGCAAGCGACCAGGCAACCAAGCAAGCAAGCGAGCACCCGAGCTACCGACCGACCGACAAGCTGCCCGCCCTGGGAACAGAATCCGGCCGAGCGCAAAGCGACACAGTCCTCCTGACTCGGTGCTCCTGCCTGGGGACAGTGCAGGATCAGGTTTTCCAAAACTAAAGAAATGTGCGTAGTAGGCGTAAATCGGTATGTGTCAAAATAGGGGGACCGCCCAAGATAGTTGTTCTTCTATGCATCAACCCATGGGTTGGTTCCCCATTTTCTTCAAACCTTCAGTTTGTAAACCACACGTTTTCCTGGATGTTGCCAATTTTTAGATCATGATAATGATCCCTGAAACACATGGGGAAAGAATACACCCATCTAATGCACACCTCCAGCAGCTACGCCGCATCGGTGTCCAACGGCCAGGGATTTTTCCTGTATGGCTCGTGTCGCACCAAAACCGTGCGCCGCATTGCCTTAGTTCCTCAAGCGTGGCACCCGCTAAGAGTTGGGGTTTCGGAACATGTGGAAAACCACACTTTCCGTAACTCCTAAATTTCCAAAGCGGGCCAGAAGCAATCGCCAACTGGACTGACTTGCTGGTGCTCAGCAGGGTCATGGAGAACGACCCGCACAAAGCATCCAACTGGTGGTGCCCTTGAAGGGGGCCCCGTTCATTCCAACTCATTCCCCACCTATCCAGCAAGCTGATTCCAAGCTGTGTGACTCATAAAGCATTCCGGCTCCGCTTGAGGCCCTGGTTCAAGGTGAACTTGACCGGTGGAAACCTAGGGATCCCATAGGAGTCTTTCTCGCATAAACCATCCACCAGGGCTCCTAATTAGTTGGTCATGCGGCCCGCCTAATTACTCAAGTGGAAGCCCTCCAGGAAGTATCCTCTTTCCAATCATGAAGGCCTCTGAAAACCGGCTTTGCAAAACGGAAAGCGGGGTACCAGCACGTTTCGTGCTGAATTCTCTGAAACTGAAAGGAAGCCAAGGTATGCCCTTTTCGCCCCAGAGCCTCCCATGCCAGGAAACCCGCAGTCATCTGACAACCCTCCGTTCTTCTCAACGCGGCTTTGAAGGGAATCCCAGAACAAAAAACTGCTAAACCCAAATGAAGAAGTGGTGCGTATGTTAACGCTTCTCAACATGGCTTCGAAGGGAATCCACAGGAAAAAGAGGGACACCACCTGTTGGGGAAACTAATGCGCGCCCTGATTCTTGTAACCGCTTTCCGCTGTTGAGTGCGTGGGCATGCTTCGAAGGGCATCCAAGAGAAACAGACACAGGCCCAGCTATAGAATATGTATTCAATTGTTTGCTTCCCTTTGAGTCACTGGTAAAATGTAAATTATATCCTAAGTCTAACCCAGCTAACAACTCAGATACCTGACTAAAGCATACCAAAGTCACCCAGCCGAAATCCCCAACAAACGAACATGCACTTCGAACTGTCCCCCAAGGCCTGAAGCCACGGACTCGCTTTTGGCTTTGAGGTCCTCTCCCGGTCTGAGCGACCCGGACCCCAGGGATGACTGCCTGCACCTCACAGTCCTGCAGTTCGAGTGGATGGCATCAAACCTTACGGGATTCGAAGTTCGCAGGTCTTCACCTCCCCCCACCCCCCCCAAAAAAATTGTCATGTCCCTGGCACACACACACACAATTAAACAAAAAACAAACAAAAAAAACGGGACAGGATTGACTGTGTCAATTCTCGGCGGTGACGTAATCCAAAAACATACGATTTCCGCCGAACAGCCCGCAACACGCGCCTCATCGTGCATCTGGTGGTCAGCCTCTTCTGCGGCCGCTTTCGCATCTTGCGTCTCCTCAAGGCTAGCACTGTGTCACGAGTATGCTGGGCCAGCCCCTGGTGAGTTGACGGCAGCATCCAGGCGACCGAAAGAGCGCTTGAGACACCCTCTTAACTTCCGCTACCGCCACCCTCTTAACAACTTCAGATCCTTTCCCGGGAAGAAAAAAAAACGGGCCATGCCAAGACTATGCCCATCCCCCCATCGTCGCCACGGCCAGCCACATAGGCCTCCTCATGCGTGTCAGCTTCGGCCTCTGCTTGCTTTGGCTCCTCGAGAGCCCGGCATCTTTCACTTGGAACATGGAAAGCCATCAGCAGCAAAAAAACCCAAGCTTTGCTGCGGAATGAACACGCTCGCCAAACTCAATCCAATAGTAGCTCAAAGGAAAAGCAATCACCTTGACTGTATGCTCCGGCCTGAAGGGCTGACTCTGCTTTGCACACAGCCGCACTTGAAAACGAAAATATGAAAACTAAAAACAAGTCAACTATGCACCTGGGGGCCTCCGGAAAAGGGTGCGAACATGTGGCAGCAACACGCACTCACATATAGAGAGGTTAGAATAAGGGTACCCCTTTTTCCGTAGTCTATTTTAGTAGGGGAACCCTCCCAGTTACTGGTTGCCACACAAACTTCTCCTCGTGCATCTGGCAGTCAGCCTCTGCCTCTTCAGCTTGCAGCTCCTCAAGGCCAACGCTTCAAAAGCAGCAACTAGCCGCGTCTTGGGTATGCTCCTAGTGCCTTGCATGCATGCTACAGCTTAAGTGGACTCTCAGAAAGTGAACTAGTTTACATGGTCAAAGACATGTAGGGATCTGTTCGTTGTACTCGGGTACCCCCTGTTGGTTGGTTGTTCAGGGAAACCAAAAGGCAAACACCTCTTCAAACAACCAAAAAGTGACATGTGGCCACGGGTCATAACCTATGCCTCCATTTTGGGGCGGACGAACACCCATGTACCACCTATTTTGATGTTCACCAGGGGGTACGGGGTTTTGACCCACAGCCATGTATTGCGCAAGGCCAAAATACATTGCTTCTGGTCTTCCACCGACACGGGGGAAACAAACCAGGCAACACTCAGGCCAACTCCTCGTGCTGGCGGTCACTTTCTTCAGCGACCTCTTCCGTGTCCTTTGGCTCCTTCCCCGTCTTCCAGCCCAGCCCGTGTTCTTTCTGACGCGAGAAAGGCAGCTACCACAAACAACACACAACACATTTGGGGCATGATATGCAACCTCCCCTAAAGCCAACTGAACTCGAGCAGTGTGCCCTGCACCTCTCCTTCTCACATGTTTGTGGTGGAGCTTCCCGCAATCAGGCTGCAGAAGCCGTCAAAGCTATACCGTGGGTTGAGCACTTCGGGACTGCATCCTTAGAACAACACCTCAACAATGCGGAGAAAAGATGGGCGAACTGCATCTGCTTCGCTTGCACGTCTCTCTTGCCCTCTTGCTCCCCCAGCGGCCCAGACTCATTGCATGAGCCCCGTTGCACAACGCCGCGAATGAGCACGCAATCCGAAACAAGTCAAAGCAAAACGACGTTGCGACTGGGCGGTTCTGGGAATGATAGCGGAGATATGTTGCAAGACAGCCAGCATCCGCACGCCTCCTGCGCCTCCTGCATCTGGCACTCTGCCTCTGCCTCTTCTGCTTGTGGCTCCTCAAAGCCAACGATTCGAAGGCAGGCCCCCCCCAAGGACCGATGAACTTGAGTGGCGTTGCCTCCGCTTTCTTGCCCGCTGAAGCGTCTTCGGCTCTCTCTTTTGCTTCCTTTGGCTCCTCAACACGGCCGGTGTTGCCCGTGCTCCTTCTCCCTTGAGAAGCGCGGCCGCGAAGAAAAAAACTGGGACAAGCCCACACCGGGCTGAGACGGACAAACGAGAAGGAGCCTCAACTTGGAGCTCTGGGGCCATGTTTGCACCCTAGTTGCCTGGGGTCTCAGGGCTGAGTCTGCTTTGCACAAAGTCGCACGTGAACAAAATAAGAACAACTAGGCACCTGGGGCCTAGGAAAAAGTGTGCGAACATGTCGCAGGAACACACGCACACACATACTTACCACACAAGCTCCTCGTGCATCTGGCACTCTGCCTCCACCTCTTCTGCGTGTGGCCCCTGGTGTCGAAAGCTCGTGGGCGCTCCCCACGAGACTGATGCATTTTAGTCGCTTGGCCTCCGCCCTCTCGTTTCCAGGCTTATGAAAAGAAGTGGCCATTGGGACAATGCTCGGCCTCCTTTCCATCCAATGGCTTCAATAATTCTCCCCAAAGTGACAAGAACCGCTCAGGCCAACAGACTAGGCAAGTGCCAGGCCGAATGCCATTTCTCAGGCCTTGTTCTCATGCATCTGCCGGTCAGCTTCTTCAGCTACCTCTTTCGCTTCCTTTGGCTCCTTGACACACGCAGTGCTCCAGCCCATGTTCTTTCTCACACCGCCAAAAAGAAAAAAAAACAGAAAAACAAGAGATCCAGGCCAGCACTTTGTGGGGGGCACGATCATGCTGACTGAAATCGAGGAACGCGATGTCCCTGCACCTTTCATTCTTTTGTTTGCCCGGCTTCTGGAGAAGCTTTGACTTGATATGATGCTTTGGGTTGAGCATCCAAAACGAAATCGCCTCAGGGACAGAAGTATTTGCTCCGCTTCTGCACTTGGGATGCTCGCACCTTCCCGGCCAAAAAGTTGCAACACAGCCAGCGCATGACTCGTGCATCCGACACTCTGCCTCTGCCTCTTCTGCTTGTGGCTCCTGAAGGCCATCACTTCTAAAGTAGAAGGCGCTGGCACTTTGTCATGCCCCAAATGCGCATTGGCTGAACAAAGTGTCAAAGTCTGGGAGCAAGAAATCAACATTTCACAGGGGTCATTGAAGCAAGCCTCTTGAAGTGCCCCTTTGAGGTGGCCTTTGCCCCACCCAACTCCAGCCCCAAATGTTCACCTTCAGGACCAGTTGGCACAATCTGGATCTTGTTTGCCCCATGCAAGCCAATGACAGTTACGCCGCTTGACGGTCTGAACGTTGCGCATCCTGCACATCCACGTCCATGTGGTCGGCCACCGCGGCCACAGGCTTCGAATCCTGGCGAGCCCGCACTTGAGTTCCAGTCACCAAGGAGGGATACCAGTATCCTCGCACAGTTGCCCGACTCATTGATTAGTCCCAAAGACAAGTCTCGCGGCTTTCCTGTGGTCTCGCTGTCTGCGTCATCTTCATCACAATTCTAAGCACACCATCCACCCGGTTGACGTTGGAAAGGTTCAAAAAAAAAAATGCAGTTCAGTGGGGATTTCCACTAAACCACAATAAGCACAAATGCAAAATGTTTCCCAACAACAACCATGTCCAAGTCACTAACCCCTGATTCACCAAAGCAAAGACAAGAGCAAGACTACAACCCCCCCCCCCAGGTGAGAAGGGTTCTGACCATTCGCCTGGAGTGTTGGTCCTAACGCCCCTCCAATAAGCAATCCCCAAATGAAGGCAAGGTGACTGCCCCTTTTGGAGTGGTTTTAAAGGGAAACCAAACCGAAACTTCCCATTTGGGGCGGGGCTATTTCAAAACACACCCATACCCACCTTGCTCGGAACAGTTTGAAGCTACGGGATGCACCTCAGATTCACATTTGGGATGCTAAGCGCGTTGGTAAAAAAAAATGGCAGTCGCAGGACTCGTCAAAAAGAGGACGATAATCAAGCAAACAAACTAGCAAACAAAGAAACAAACAAGCAAGCTCACAAACACACAAACCAACAAAGCAAACAACACGAAACCAAACCAAACCAAACCAACAAAAAATGGTCATCCTCGGTCATCCTCGGTGTCCCTCAGAAAGTTAGAAAAGTGGTCCTGGGAGGCGTTCAATTTCATAAGGTGCATCTGCAAGAACCTTTCTGCAGGGCGGGGTGGCCGCAATGCATCTTCTTGTGCAGAACAGTTGTTTCCCTAGCTTGTTCAATTGCATCCTGTTTGGGCCTGTTTTCTGTGGATTGGTTGTCTAATCAGTATCGATCAAAAAGAAGATATATCAACATCCTCCCTTCAACCCATGGTCCAACTCATTGTGCACTTGCACTCATTACAAGAGCTCATCACACAAAACGAAGGAACCTCTAAGCAAGAGCGACCATTGCCGTGAATGAGCTTGCTGTTCTGCAGGTGAGTACCAATTGCACATGGGTGTGCGTCGAAATTGCAGGCATGCATTAAATTTGAGGTGACCCGCTTTTGGTTTTCCTTTAAGCCAAGGTAAACAGGCTATCTTTTCAACCAAGCACACGCACACATGCATATCATCGTGACATCCCGTCCTGGGAGTCTTTGCCTGCGCTGCGGCAAGGGATGAAACAAACCTTGGCCTGAAGGTAGTGGCCGCATGCATGTTGATTTTCAACATCTAGCGTTTGCCCCCCTCAACACTGCAGCACGCTCCCTGCATGAAAGGACTTTTGCGCACCCCTTTCTCCTTTGTGGGGTTTTATGTCCTGCTTGATCTTTGGGGGCCATGACTTCTGCAGAACTCGGACAGCGGGGGCTCAGCAGCTCGATGCAGTACCATTATTTACCCTCGACACATCACAACCACCAAGGGACACATCAAGTGCAGGTGCAAATGCGGGTAGGGACAAATGCCATGCAGTTGCAGATTGAGCACAGCAAGCGGGCACCGCTTAGTGCCGGTGTCGGCGCACACACGCATGCGATGGTCTGCGAGTGGTTTTGCATGTGACGACGCTTTTTTGGTGATGGCTAGGCGGCAGAAAGAGCGTCAAATGTACGTGAACACATCTTCTGTAAAAGAATGCTGCCAAGCTGGACTAAAACCAGCCGGCGTCAACTGTAGCTTCCGTATGACACCAGCTCTGCAGCTCTTTGAGCAGACCTTTCCTTGCACTTTTTTTAGTTGCGTTCCAAAAGGTGATCTTTTGTTTCCGGCTTTGGGCAAGGGCGATTTGTATTTGGGGGTGTCTTTTCAAGGTTGGATCCTCCAACATGGTGGTGTTCCTTTTGGTTTCCCTTTCAAACCACCAACAAGGGTACCCTCAAAAATAGACACGCCCATTTCTCAGTCGCCCAAAGGACCCAGAAATAAAAGGTGGACCTTTTGGCGCCTTTACGAAAGAAAGACCAAAATTGACAAACCAAAAGGTTAAAAGGTCGGCTTTCAACTGAGATTTGTCTCTGGCCTTCTCATTTCCCTTGGCTTGGGGTCTTGGTGTCCAGGTGCTTGACTTTCCTGCCCCTGGAAAGAATCAAAAAGAACACGGTGGCATCCACTTGAGACAAGCACACGGTGCTTTTTCCCGGGACGTTTCGAAGTGAAATCATGGAGCACGTTCCAAGTTCATTGGTCTTTCCAATGGGTTCAAAGCGGAAAGATGGGGAGCTTTGATGGCCAATGTTCATATCAAACGCAAGCTTGGTCCGTCTTCAATTCATCCAAGGGGCATGGGTCATCTGAAGCCTCCATGTCCTTTTCAGTTTTCCTCGAAGCCCTAAAACCCAAAAGGGTACCCTCCAGAAAGGCATCCTCTTGGCTGAGGCCTTCCTCGGAATGCAAGTGATCCCTACGGAACGTCTGTTGGTAAGGCCCTTTAACCTCTATGCATGTACATCTCCCTGCATATTGACATATATATATATACAAACATCTATGCGCATAACGCATCAGAAGGTATGGGCATGTGGATAGGCTTGCATGTACGCCTGAAGCACCCGTGCGCTTCGCAAGCGCACTTTTTCCTCCTACTGGGCCATTCTCAAAACAGGGCATTTTGAGCAGCATGGGGGGCCTACCGCACAAAGAAGGCAACGCGTAGGCAAACAAGTAAATAATCGAGGCGGATATTTCTGGAAATATGCCTTTGCTGCTCCGAGCCCCCTCAGGGAAACAGAAAGACCACCTAGCCAAACTTATAGCCTTGAATCTTGCTCATACTGTTTTTGAAATTGTGTGAGAAATGTGCTGAAACCAAAATGGATGGACTCGCGCCATCTACTTCGCGCTGCATGTTAACGTGGCCATCGGAAAAAAAGCATGGGCGCCCTTCCTGGTTTGGCTTCTCAATTGAAGCCCGCCCCCCCAAAAAAGAAGAAGAAGCTAAAACCAAAAACAAAACAAACAACGGAAAGGCTGGTCTCCTAGGCCAAGGGCTTGGCTCCACCCATCTCGAAGGCCTGGCTTCCCATGTGCCAGGGCCGGCAAGCAGTTCCAGCGAAGCAGCCTCACAGCGTCTGAGTAGCTAGCCGCTAGCCGACAGGGACGCCACAACCATGATGGATGTTTCATCAAAATCCCCAAAAACCAAATGAGTTTCACACCGAGCATCTTTACTGTCCGGTCTTACCCTCTCCTATTCCATTCTATCCTATCTCTACGATGTGGTATGTCTGAATGGCACCAGCGTGCGCACATGGTAAAGAGTGGCAGGCCCGCTCGGCATAGGCGCGGGAAGAACCCTGCCAAGGGCCAAAACCTGAAACGAGGACTGCCTCGGCGCGGTGAGACATCCAATTAAAGCAACGCGGGGCAGGTGGAACTGGCCTCATTGCTTCTCAAAAGTCACCCCCGAAGGTGACTTTGGTGACTTTGACGCCCAGAAGCAGTCACGGGAAAGTGTCAAAATAAGGGGAACCCCAAAATGGGTGCCCTTCAAACGTGAGAAGTGCACCATCACACAGAAAACAAGCTAGGAAGCCAGGAATGTTTTTCCCCTGGGGTCCTTGGGGTTCCACTCACCAACTTGGCAACCTGAACCTTAAAAAACTACACATCTTCAGCTCCCCTCTTGGTTTGGAGCCCGGTGGCGTGGAGACGTTTCGTGGGTGGTGGTTTCGCCATAGCACCAGGAGTGGTCGACTGAAGCAATCAGTTGTGGGAAACCTCCATGCGCGATGGCCGGCCACAGGCGACAGGCCACCCCTCAAGATGGAGATCTGTCACAGAGCAAGCTCCAAACAAAAAAAAGCAGAGCAAGCTATGAAGGGAATGGGGCACTCGTTTTGGTTCCCAAGTACCACATTGCCAAGTACCAAAAGGTTGTGGCAACCGACATTTAGTGGTGCCATTGCCAAAGTAACATCAACCACTGTCAACCACCAAAAGGTTTCCCGACATTTAGGGCCCGCCTCAACCCCATCCGATTGAGCCCGAGCCCCCCGGGGCCCCGGCCCGCGGATCTCGGCATCCAAGTCCAGGAGGTCCAAGGCTTCGTCCAAGCTGCTCTGAGCGAAGGCGCCGGATCTCGGGGGAGCCCTGAAGATCTACCCGCAATCGGGTACCCTCAAAACCGTGATTATATACGAGAAACAACAAATACACACACACATATATATATATATATATATATGTATATATGTGTGTGTGTGCGGGTTCAATATGTATATATATATATATGATATATGTACATGGCTCGCATCACTCTGGGCAATTTGAGCTCGTACCCCCAGCTCGTTGAATAGATCATGGAAAATGGCCGAGCCATGAGGCCCGATTCCGCCAAGAGGTGGGGGTCAAACATGTTGGGATCTGGATGGACATGTTGGGATCTGGATGGGGCTTTGCCCCCACCTGGCTGGGGGATCTTGGGTTTGGACTATTCTCCTTGAAAAGGTTCATCCTGTTGGGTTGCATGATTGTGGCCGGGAGGGTAACCACTTAGTTGGATTTGAGAATCAGTCCACACTGCACAAACGACTTAACGCGGTCTCTCCCTTTGCGTTGGTACGTTGGTACCACGTTTCGTACTTACTGGGGGTTCAAAGCTGTTGACTGAGGGGATATCCGGGGGTAACTGTTGTTTGGAAATTTCAACATTTGTTGATTGAGAAGTGATTCCAACAATGAAAGGGATGATCGCAGGGGCCGGACGATTCATCTTCAACAGCCAACTCCTGTTCATTGACGTGCTTGTTGGAAAGAGTAAGCTCTGTGCGACCCGAAGTGGCCCAACTGCCACTTCAGGCCCAACGTTCAACAAGCTCAGTTGGACGAACAAATGTGAACGCTTGGGATAGCCCAACTGGCCGGACTTGCTAAACTCACCTTCAGCTGGTTAAAGCAGTTGAGCCGACGTGGCCGGCTTATGAAACATCCTGACCAGTCCGTGACAAGGCAAAGCAAGACCTTGGGCGTTGATCAACTTTCAAAGATGGGCAAAACAATTGACAATCGGACCACAGCAGGCCCCCACACCCTCTGGATTTCCCGTTCAGGTTTTGATCCCTCCAAGAACCAGGTCGGCGTGTCAGGTTTTTGGGGTCTCACAACCTTGGTGGTCAGTATGCAAGGTTCAATTGTATAGTCATTCATCAACAAGCCGAACATAAGGTCTTAACGGACATGGCCACACAATGATATGGCCAAACAGGAAAACTCTAAATCCACATGTGCGGTAAGCCAACCCAATGCAACACTTCCCTTGAGTACAACTCACTTGCCCTTGCCCAGCAAAGCCTCACATTCCAGCACGATTGTCTCAACAATAAAGGACATCCTTGGCCGCCAAGCAAAAAAAAAAACATGGTTTGATTTCGGTGCCTGGTCCATATACCGAAGCAACAGCAACAACAACCTTTTAAAAGGACGCCCTCCAAACAGAACACAACCCAACAAGATCAAAAGACGCAATCTGGGGATGCAGCTTGGCTCAGCAGTCGCCCGCATGCTGGTAGCGGAGCCAGCGTGGCCTCTCAGCCCAAGTTTACAGCGATGACATGCGAGCATGACACTGGCCCTGCTCCCTTGGAAAGACCTATTCTGCGAGTAGCCTGTGCCAAACCACTTTATTTAGTTCCTCCAAATGGTCATTCGGGAACTCTTTGCATCCCTTTGCTATTCATGTGTGGAATGGGGCAACTCCTCCAAGAACATCGGCCGCACAACAAGAACCTTGGTTTCGTTCGCCTATGAAGTGTAGCTTCCCGCTTTCGCTGACAAACCTTAGTGTGAAGATTGTTTGTCCAATGGACACTTGCCGCAATAGATTCAGTTTAGACGGCCATACGCCCGCCTTGTGCGCACAAGCTCTTGCAGCGTGTGTTCTTGGACGTTTGGTTCGGAGCCTATTGGATATTGATGCGGGGAAACCAAACCTTGGCTGTGCTCTAGCTTTTCATCCCCATTCACTTCAGGAAGCTGCGGGACCGAGCCCAGTGGCCCATCAGAACACGACTCCTTCACATGAGGCAAGCTGCGGACCACCACGAAGGAAGCCTCGCCTCGCGAGGTCGCTATATTGTTTGACCGTCTAATCGCATCACAAACTCCCTGCCAAACCAATCAGACGTCCCCACCCCCTCAGAAGTACGATCAAGCCTCTCTCAGTTGGGTCATCCTTGTCGACCAGAAATCCGAAGTCGACATTTGCAACTAGCTAACTTGTTAGTCGCCCTGGCCACCCGAAACTTGGGTTGGTGGGGGGGGGGCCAGCCCACTCCGCACCAACAAACCTTTGCTTGACCCACGCTCCATGCTCCACGCTTGGCCCAATTGGAGCCCCCAATCGCACGCCTGTGGGAGGAGAGCTTCGCCGCTGGAGGCCTCCAACCGCCGGGTGTGGTTTCCGTTTTCGGGGCTCCAACTTTTTGGCCCCGCTGTTCCAAAGCTTTGGCCCATCCGCTTCTCCCATATTTTCTTATAGGGAAGCCACAAAGGGGAGCAAATCCTTGAGCAAGGCAAGGATTTAGGATTACCTTTGAACAGCCCAGCCTGAAGGCTGCCTAGGACTATCTTCCAATCATGGAAGCTGACGGGAACACCAGTTTCCTTTTTGGGAAAGCCCCCTGGAAGATTCCATTATTGTTGGAAAAGGTTAGGTTCCGGCAGCCTGGAGGGTGGGTGTGCACACTTGAATGCACCTTTCCAAAAAATAGCGGGTAAGAAACCAGCAAAATATAATTAGTCCAAGGAGCAAAGTGAGGGCTTACATTCTTTGCCCCACCGATGAAAAAGCGCTTGACATGTTGTAGCCCTCCCCTGCCCCAAGCAACAACAGGGCTCGAACATGTCTTAGCAGGTGGCTTAAAATCGACTCAGTTGACAAATAGCGTAACATAGTGTAACCCCAAAATGGGTTGCCCTGGTAAATGGACACATGGACCAAAACCCGCGTTCAAATTCCCGTGGATTTCATTTCGAGCCATACCCACGTTGACCCGCGCAAATCACAGGAGTGGGGCACATCTCCCAAGCTCCCGGCGCCAAGGAGCTGCGCCACTGCAATGGCCTGAAGAAGCGGAGCCCGTGGACTTTGAGTCGAGAAAAAGCCCCAAGGAACGCGCAGCTTCTCCTTGGCTTGGGGAGTTCCGATTCTAAATCTTTTTGTTTGTTTTGGGGAGCTCCAATTCTTGATTATTGATTCACCACTCCTACCTCAAGAGAGGTTAAGTGAGGGGTTAGGGTTGCTTCTAAGAAAGCATCTCCAAGAAATATAGGCCAGACCCCTGGGTTTTGCAGGTAACTGAATTTACGTAACCCGTGGGATGCCACTACACAAGAAGCCGCGGAACCCACCTGGCAGGATCCTGCGGATTGATTTTCGGTAACTTTAGTCCTGCCAGGGAAAAGTGAGCTGACTTGTTGGGACGGCTCTGAAACAGGTAGTGGAAATTGCCCACTTCCGTGACGCCATTGGATTCACAACGTCGAAAGTCTGAACTTCAAGGGTGAGGTCTCCTGGTGGTAGCAGGGATCTAATTCCCGAACTCGACAGTGTAGGAAGCTGGCTCTGGACCTCCTTACCTTCTGACAACCCTGTGAACCGCCTATATGGCTGATGCCTTTCTTGAATAAGGGGGACCCACTTTGGTGACCAGGGAATGGGGGCATGATCCCCATACACATTCGGGGTTTCCTAGCGGATCCCAAACAGTTGTTTCTCATTCCCGAGCCCCAGGAACAAAACAGTCTGGGAGGCTTCGAATCTCAAACCATCGCCATCGATTAAAAAACAACGCGCACACACACACACACACACACACACCTGGCCACTGAACCTGAACAAGGCTACCCTATGCAACAACCAACAAGCTACAATTAAGAACAGGAAGAGAAAGTTGCAACAACCAGCCAACACGCGAAAAAGAAGCAATTCAAGAGAAGAGCGAAGGCCGGCAACTCTGCAACTTGGAAAGTGAGATATCTGGAAATCCCGCCCACTCGAAACAAGACTCGCTCGGTTGCCGCTTTGCACATGCATGGTGCAGACAAATGCTTCGCGACCTCAGTCGCACAGACAGTGGGGGGAGCGGAGCCCCTGAGCTTCAACAAGATCGCGATGCGGATGCAAAGACCAGCCATGGCATCCCCAAAGGGAGATTCATAAAACCAAGAACAACACATGGCTCACTGCATTGCCTTCAGGTAGCTAGAAGAAGGTCAAGCAAAGCCCCCAAAGTGAGGGAACCCTGCTGCAATGCAAAAAAATGGTTCCTTGAAGGACCCATGCAAGAATCGCCTGCTTTGCAAGGGGACGGGATCCTCTAAATCAGCTGGCAAGCCAGTTGTTTTTGGCTAGCCCACTTTATCCGTCTGCTTTCAACTTGAACCCTCCCCCACAAGGGAAAAATCAAAAACAAAAACAGAGGCAACAAAAACAAGAAACACCGAACAACGCACATGTTTTAAAAACAATGAACACTAAAAACACCAAAAACCGGCGAACACCGCATGCCCATGCGCGAAACTCACCTCCGGGCTCGGCCTTCCGCAGGTCCCCGGGGCAAGCGGAGGCGATTTGCGCGCAGAGCGCTGGAGATAGCTCCGAGCTCTCGCGCCTCCGGAGATCCGTTGGGAGTCCGCAATTAAAACCAAACAACACCTGAAGCAAGATTTCCCCACGGCTTAAATATTGCATTGTTTGCTTTAAACAAAAACCTGAAGTAAGGGATCCCCGATTCAAGATCCCAAATAAAACCAAAAAAGACATTTGTTTAAACAAGAAAAACAACACCTGAAGTAAGGGATCCCCAAGGCCCCAAATGGCATATCCAAGGCCCTAAATCATGTCGACCTCGTTTTGCCAGGCGAGCTCGCTGAATATTGCGAGCTTATCTGGCGGGTAAAACGATATCACCGTGATTTATGGCCTTTCATGACGCCAGTGAGAATGGCTGCTGCGCTCTGATTTCCTTTTAAATGCCAACCAAAAAGAAGTCCACCATGTTGAGAATATTGCAGAGATCCGTTGACAAAGCCGGCTTCCCGACATGAATAAACGGATACCAAGGTTAAACTGCCGGCACAGGGGAAGAAGTGTGTTCCCTGATTTAACTGGACACCACAGGAAACCAAGCCAATTGGAGAAGTGAAGCTGGCCATCATGTGTGCACCCTTGGGCTCATGTGTGCACCCTTGGGCTGTTCCAAACGGAATGGCCAATCCAAAATCCCTGGTGGAAAACCTCTACAGAGCCTAATCCAACTTGCTGGTTTTCGCGAAAAGGGAAGCGACTTAGCCCGAACTGAACCAGACCGGTGGCTTTCTAGGACTTGCAAATTGACCCCGGGACCCGGGAAGCAAGTGGCATCAAACTTGAATGAGAATGAAACCAGCCCCATCTGCACTCTCTTGCCGCAACCCCCCATTCCGAATTTCGGGTGGCGACCTCATGAAAAAAGATGTGGTTGTCATAAATTGAGCGGGCCCCCCCAAACACAAGAACGCGGCTTTCCCTCCGGTAACCCTCCACGTATATATATATATAGAAATGTATGTCTATATATATGTATGTATGTATCATCCATGTTCAGACTACACCAATGATGCAATTATTGTTCACAGAAATGACCTTTTACTAATTTATACCCATCTAAATGTGAATAGTTTGATGATTCATCACTGATCAAACTGAGGTTAACTTAGCTAATTAGATGTCTGTCTTTACGAGTACACCCAACGAAAAAGAAAAACAACACCTAAATATGGTGTCACTTCTGACGGCCTCAACCAGCCCAAATCAACACAACTGAGTCCAGCAAAGTGACATCCTCGCAGTGACCCTCTAAATGGCAGAAAGGGCGGTTAGCCCTCAAGAAGCGACCACTTTAGGCCAAACTTCGACCTGGAACGGCACGACTGTTTGGTAATGGGCAACCAAAATACAGCTAAACATGTAAACAAAATCTGGACGTCTTGAGGGGCTATGATCTGTTTGCTGATAAATTTACTGAACAACAAACTCAAATGCATAGAACCCCTGGTTTTGGTTCGTTCCTAAAGCCAAACTGGCCCAATGCACCCCAACCGCCTGGCTATGTCCTGGATCTGCCGCGCTATGGTGCTCTCCTTGCGACCCGGCATCCGAAGAACCGGGGGGAAATGTTGCATGACCCCAACTGGCTGAAACTGTTGCATGGATCCAAGCTGGAATGCAAGATAATCCGCGGACTGGGTCATCCTCAAAACCCTCCAAATGGTGGTCAAAGTCACACTCTACATAGGGTGGGGGGGGGGGGTTGAGGTATCTGCTCAAGGTTGGCTACAATGGACATAGCAAGGCAACGCCATCATTTTGGGGATCCTTTTGTTGTTGGCTCATGGCGGTACCCCCCCCTCCCCCCGCAAGTGGCCCATCCAAATCAGTTCTGTCACTTGCGAATGCATCTGAACAATCTGTGCCTATCCGCGCATTGCCACTCAACATGGGTGTAAAACATATTTCTGTCACAACGAAACAGGCATCCCTGTAACCATCTTGTTACTCTAAGAGGCTCCTTAGGGTGATCAAAAGGGCCACTCCAGCTGGTTCGCTCCTTTTTTGGTGTCCCGTCAAAGCCAGCCAAGTGGGCCTCCAATAAATTGAGACACCTCGATTCAGGATGTGCATGTAAGCAATAGCCATAGACGATTTCAAACAAACCTGAATGACAACAAAAACAGAATTGCCATAGACCCCTTCAACCAGCAACCTAGCGGTTCTTTTTGCGAGAACCCATTTTTGAAGGCAAATCTATTTTCCAACAAAGGCCTTCATCTTGTGTCAGAGCCTTTTGGGGAAACGAGGGGAACATTTGTCGACCCGCTTCGGCCCAGATCGTTCCGAGGCTCAGCCAGGCTGATGCCTTGGCGGAGGGAGCAGCTTCCTTTTCATTGGTGGCTTGGATTGGTGGGGGTTGCAAAATTATTGGTGCCTGTAGCCATGATTGGACTTCGGCCCAGTTCTAGAATGTATATTCTATTGCTTGAATCCCTTCGAGTCACTGGTAAAATGTAAAATGTGTCCTAAGTCTAACCAGTAGAGTGTGGGAGTGTTGACTGGGCACCCGAAAGGGTGGACATCGTTTACGTCGGGATTAAAGATTAATGTCCACCAACCTCACGGGGGGGTATTCCCAGCAATTTGGCTCATCAACCTTCTCAAAATCAGCATGTTCCCTGGTGCTTGGCTTTGTCCAAATAGGGAAGTTCCTGCAGGTCAACCTGGAACCCAAAAAACGATTCGTGTGTGGAGGAGGCTCGCTTTGGGGAAGCCCGTGACTCCACAACTTCTTTTGAGGAGAGTCCTAAAGGGGACCCCCTTCTGTGGGGGTTGGAAGTCCCATGTGCTCAACAATCATTGTCAAAACTGGTGTGTGGTCTCTATCCCTAGTGTGGTTTGTGTGGTTTTCAGTCTTTTGAGCAAGCCCGATTTTCCCTGCCGCTTTGTAGAACTGAACTTGCCATCGTGCGTGGCTCACACGTGGTCTTCGCGGAATAGATCTACGCCCCTCAAGTGGACTAAACCGCCAAATCGGCTGCGCAAGTTTTGGACAAGTTTGGGCCTCTGCGGCTCAATTCCCAAACATTGCGAGGCAACCGGCCACAAACCAAGGAAGTTGATGGCTTCTTGGGTGTTTTCCCCGGGATGGATGCTGACTGGAAAGCTTCCCTCTTTGGGATCTGTAAAATTGCAACCTCCTCTGAAATAATCTTCATCATCTGTACGCGCGCATGTGCGCTTGCCATTCATCGCAACGAAATTTATCGTTGCTACTTCCCTACAGGAAACATGCAACCAAGAAGGTCAAGAAGGGGACCCCCTCGGAGTTCAAAGTGGTCTAATGGCCCTTCGTGAGATTTGTGAACACTTTCATGCCCAGTAACCCTGATGGTAGGAAAGGGACAACCTTCTGAAAGTGAGGAACCCACCTCCCCCCCCCCCACCCAAACAAAAAAGAACAACAAAAGACCAACAAACACCCCCCAAAAAAAAACCGCCCAATGCTCTGGGAACGCGTTGCCAAAGTTCGCATTGAGACCACGAGTTGAGCGATGGAAGCCTTGCAAGATTGGATCCAGCCGGACCAAACAACTACTGTGTGTCTCTCTCTGTGTGTCTCTCTCTGTGTGTCTCTCTCTGTGTGTCTCTCTCTGTGTGTCTCTCTCTGTGTGTCTCTCTCTGTGTGTCTCTCTCTGTGTGTCTCTCTCTGTGTGTCTCTCTCTGTGTGTCTCTCTCTGTGTGTCTCTCTCTGTGTGTCTCTCTCTGTGTGTCTCTCTCTGTGTGTCTCTCTCTGTGTGTCTCTCTCTGTGTGTCTCTCTCTGTGTGTCTCTCTCTGTGTGTCTCTCTCTGTGTGTCTCTCTCTGTGTGTCTCTCTCTGTGTGTCTCTCTCTGTGTGTCTCTCTCTGTGTGTCTCTCTCTGTGTGTCTCTCTCTGTGT